TTCTTTCTTTCTTTCTTTCTTTCTTTCTTTCTTTCTTGTTATTCTTTCTGTCTTTCTTTCTTCCTTCCTTCCTTTCTTTTTTCCCCCCTGCTTTGGATACAATCTACTATGCTTTGGAAGCACATGAAAACCTACATCTCCATTAAAACTTCAGAAATACAGTTATTTCCTTATTTCTAGAGGAGGAAGCAGGTTCTGAAATGGGTAGGCTTCAGGGCTGGGGAGAAATCCTGACCCTGAAATTCACTACTTGTGAAATTTTGAGGAAAATTATTTCACTTTCGTAGCTTCCTTATATCTGAATATATTAGGAATAACACCAATGATAGTATTGACTTCAAAATGCTTCCTTGTGCTTTTCTTACGACACCCTGGGTACAGCGGGTGCAGGGCCTGGCCACACTGTGTTCTGCAGTAAGCTTTCCTATGTGACCTCCCAAGCTCCCACGCTGCTAGTCTGGGGACCACACTTGGGTGGTGAAGTCTCAAGTCTACGGGGACATGCTGAGTGGCCTGGGCAGTGGGGAGGAGGAAACACTACGGGAGCTGTTTTTTTTTTTTTGTCCTACATCAACCTCATCACAGACCAAGTCACAGTCCCTGGCCACCAGCCTCATCCTATTGCAGCCAGCTTTACCCCAGAGAGGACAGGTGCGACCTACCCTACCATACAGCCGTGCCCAGCGGGCAGAGAACACGTGCTTGCAGAGCCTGGATGAGCCCCCGCAGCTCCTCCTGCCGGTGGTGGCATTAATAATCTCCAGGTCCGAGTTGCCCACGACCCAGTTCACACTGAAGTGGGGCGACTTCCCTGGCTGCCGGGCCTCTGCATAACTCACTCCTGTCAAGAGAGAGAGAGGAAGCAGGTAAGCATTAACATCCTGGCCCCGCACGGGCCTCCCTCAAGAGCGCATCCTGGGCGGTGACCCTAGTGCAGAGTCACACATGTCATTCCGCTTTCCATCTTCAAAACGAAGGCAGTTCACGTTGAGGTGATTGTACTTGTAAGACTGGAGGGTGGAAATCAAGCATGGCCCTGAGGACAGTTTCATGCTCAAAAGTCACTGCTGGTTTCCGTTTTTAACCTTTCAATTTAAAGGATTTTTATGGGCAGTTTTGTAATAATTAAAATTCAGCCCAGTTTTTTTTCCCCTTCTCTAAATGTTTGTTGAGTGAATTAATGAACAAACAGAACCACGTATAAACAAGTTAAGAAAGTGCATTTATTTGGCACTCACTGCATGCCCAGCCCTCTTCAAGGTAAAACACTGGGTGGTAAATAATACCAGGCAGATCCTTAGGCTTATAGTTTAATTGATGAGAAAAAAAACCCCACTAATATAAACAAGAGAGATATATGAGTATGGGAAAACAAACAATGCAGAAATAGCACTGACTACAAAATTTGCAAGCCTCACTGCAAAAATAAAAATGAGAGGCCCCTTGTCTGAAAGTCATCAAGAGTTTTAAGACCACAGCAAAATATGAATCCAAATGTAGGTTCTACTAAGCTCAGATTCCTGGGGTGAGTCATGCGTCCATGAAACTGGTGCTGCCAAGAAGCATCCAGATTTTCCAGGGAAGTCCTTGTTTTAAGGTGAATTTCCCCTTGTCAGACTGTCCACTGTGTCTTTGAATTGGAGTCCACACAACCTGGTGGTCGCAGCCTCCTACAGCAGAGTGGAGGGAGAAAGCAGAGCCCTCTCACTTTGCAGTCTGGGGCCAGCCGCACTTCTCAGCTCCTAACCTCAGCCCAGTATCAACTCCTGCCCAGCCACGCTGCAGTGCTCCCCCTGCTGATCAGGACTTCCTGAAGATGCTGGGTGAGGTGTCTGGTGAGCATGTGCCTGGGTTTCCTCTTCCAGGGACGCCATCCTGAGGATCCCAACCGTCTAATATTGTGGTGCTGCTTTGCTTCCCATATGTTGTCTTTCTTCTTGCCTCCTGAAGGTTATGTTTGCCAACCTGTGACCTTGGGGAGGTCCCTATGCTGCAGTAGTTTGGAGGCAAGATGCCCCAGATGACCATGGCCAGATGGTTTCCACGTGCTGGACTTCCTTGTGGCAACCCTGTGCGTAATAGATTTGACCCTCATCATTTCTAGAGGCTGTGCCATATGGTCCAGTCTCTGCTGAGTCTCATGGTCCAACCATAAAAATTAGTAGAGAAGGAATTTAGTCTCTGTTCACTCCAAGAAAATTCTGGGATGTTTGGTTTGTAACCCAGAAACCCTGGTCACGTGCCCCCTATCAGTGCCTCTTGAATCTCTCACCACACCCAGGGCCCCTTCAGCGTCTCCATGATACCTTCCCCAAACTCAGCCCAGCTGGACTTCTCGGCCCCCTTGTCCATTTTCACCTTATGAAGGTCGGTCCTGACGATCTAGCCCTGCTCATGTCTCCATGTGCCTTGGGTCCTACTTTTCAGCAGGATGAATGAGGGAAAGGGATGCAGCAGAGCCTCTCAGGTACAGACCCTGCATTCTGGAGAGATGGGAGCCTGCAGAGAAGCCAAGAGCTTTTGGCAGGTACACTGAGTTTAGGCCACTGGGATGGCTGTTCAGAAGTCCCAGCCATGTGTTGCTGATGTTGGTGGAGAAGCCCAGGTGTTGGGATAGCAGCCCAGGTGCCAAGCACTGGCTGGATGAGCACAGTGCAAGTCCTGCAGCAGACTCCCCTTGTGGGAACTGTTCCCGGGCCGAGTGGAAGCTCAGCACACAGTGCCTTTGCGGACACAGGCTTCATTTAAATTCTGGGGAAGAGCCCATCAACTCAGAGCTGCAAAGCCACAGACTCCAGGATCCTTCTTTGTCCCCAGCTTAACCCTGGGGCCAGGGGCTTCTTGGATAAAACAGAGGCCAGTTTCTGAGTACACTGACATCTGAGTTTTCTGTCTGCCACTTACACAGCCTGGACTTCAGACTGAAAGTCACCCTATGACCTTCCTCTGGTCATGCATGGCCAGTGTTGGGTGTTTAGGCTAATTCTATTTGTGTCAGCTTTTTCCTAGAAGTGATTCTTTGTGGCAGCTGCCCACCCTTGAGAGCTGGGCAGAGGGGACAATCTGGCCCATTGGCAGCCATGGGCTGTCCTACTGGGCAGGGACCACCTTGGCAGGAGGAGGCAGCTGCTGAGGTCAGGGATGACTGGGTACCAAGAGAGACGGTCATTGCCCCAGATTTATGTAGCCAGGCTCAGCAGCATGGCTGCCTCCTTGTCCTCCTTCTCCTCTCCCCTCCCCTCCCATCCCTCTAGTCTCTACAATGGTCAGGGCTGACCACTGAGGCTCAGAGCTTGGTTTTCTCCAAGGTGCTAAACTCTGACCTCAGAGGAGGCTGCCTCCTTGTCCTCCTTCTCCTCTCCCCTCCCCTCCCATCCCTCTAGTCTCTACAATGGTCAGGGCTGACCACTGAGGCTCAGAGCTTGGTTTTCTCCAAGGTGCTAAACTCTGACCTCAGAGGAAACCCTGGAGTGCCTGATGTCATCATGGGACATGCCTGGCTCCTGGCAGGGCGCGTCGCCTCCTGTCCTCTTCTCTGTGTGTCAAAGTGTTGCTGGCTCTCAGCGCACAGACACCTGCTTTGGAGAGGGCCCAGCTGCAGCCTCACTGGGCTCTGCTCCCAACATCTTTGGCTGCCAGCCTCACAGGGGCCCAGATAGCACTGGGAAGGCAGCCATGAGGGTGCTCATGTCAACTATGCATGCGCTCTGCTCCACGTTGGTGGGTGGTGGGGGGGGGACAAAAGGGAAGGAAGGAAGGAACACAGGACGTGCTGCGAGGGAAGGTGTGGTTGATGGGCCCCTGGGATTCCACTTGCAGACAAGGCTCGTGCCTCAGGAATCTGGAGACTTGAGTCCAGGCTCATCTTCTCTCTGGGACCCTTTTTCTTTTTCTTCCTTTGCTTTCTGACAGGGTAACTTTGTTTCACAAGGTGATTTGAAGATCAAACAGGACAGACAAGAGCACTTTTAAGGCATCAAGTATTATGGGCATTGTTATTTCCATCTGGAGGAAGATTTAAAGGTCACCTCTAGTTTGTTTAGTGCTTTCAAAGTCACACAGATCAAAAAATGTTCCCAGTTACTCCATTCTCTGGAACAATTAGGTAATAACCCCATTCACTTAGATACACCTAATTATTTTGGGGAATGGAGAACTCATTGACCAAAGGCCAGGATGTCTTTTCTGTTAAACATTTTTGTTTTCATATGTGTTTGTTCAACATATGGCCTTAATACCTCTGTAGGAGACCTACTTGTCTACTTATACTTTGAGCCTCTAGTTTAAGGATTATCTCCCTTCTGTCCTTTGTTTGCAACAACAACAACACAAAAGACTTTCCAAAGCAACCTGGAAGAATGACAATCTCGCCATCCACCTTTAAAAATAAATCCACCATAAAGATAAAGCGCTTGGAATGTTTACTAAATATTCATGCCAGCAGTACAATTTTTGACATCACTGTAATTAACCATGGCTGCTGATTATACCCAAGGAGATGAAGCCACTGTGCCAGACTCACTTGAATCTAATATGTAAATTTACCAACATACAACAGAACAAACAATTACCTCACAGAACATTCATGTCAGTCTGACGTGATGTTCTCTTTCTGCAGGCAAACCCTGCACAGATACGAATCTCCTGGTCACTGTGATGGAGCTAGGGATAGTAGTTGTATTGCCCAAACATTGACCAGCACCAGGCTACTTCTTTACTCCAGAGGGATGAGTCCTCCTGGAAACAGGTGTGAAAGCTCTGGGGTGGCTGTCTTTTCCTACCTGTCATGAAATGCCTCTTGCCAATCTGTGCTACTTTGATTTGTTTTTCTACTTTCCTGTTTCAGGATGATTCTCTCCATTTCTCCCTTGATCTTGTATCACATCAACATATGTAATTCCTCAGCTGAGCTGATCTTCTGGATATATATTAACAGGATTCAGTAGGTGGCCCCTATTTTACTTGTTTGTTTCATCCTGGAGGAGATTCTTGGTTTCACATATAGGAATGACCTCACTGTTTCTATATTGATTTTATCATTTTATATTGACTCTCTGGGTGCTGTTTCGTAATTTCTGCCTGTCAGCATGTACCCAGGATCCTCCATGGAGCGTTTTCAAGAGTTCATTCATCCATTTTCTCACACTGTATTTATCGAGCCTTTTCAGGCCCAGGAGCATTGGGATTTTGAAACTTAGGGCCCAGACTGTCTAACTCAGTGTTGAATCGTATATGATATCTAGATGGTACTGGACAGGATGAGAACCTGTTTGCTCAAAGCTAGAAATGAAAGTCTGGTTTGTATTTATGGGTTTAATTTTTTTTTTCCTCTCTATGGTTAGGCACTTTGAAAAGGAAAGAAGAGTGTAAATTCTTGGGCTATACTTCCTGAAGTAGACATCAGACATGAAATGATTTAAGACTAAACTGGAGTCCCAAGGACATAGTAAATGACAGTCCCAGGTGTACCTGACTAAGACCTGCTCCACATGTTCCTCAAGACAACACATTAGCACATGCCTGGAAATCTAATGCACTCAGGAAGTATAATAGCACCTCCTGTCCCCACTTCACAGCATGAAGCCCCTCAGAAGGTTCTTCAGCCACCCCCCTCCAGAGATAGACAGCAATGGGTCAGAGTGTGACAGCTGACCTGGTACCCCGAGTCCTGGTTCAGATTTTAGAGGAGTGCTTTTGTGGTCTGAGCCCAGAAAACCTGAACACTGTGCCAATGGTGTGCCAAGAAGAAAAGAATGTCCTCATCGTGAACCCATGACAGACCAACACTCAGACACCGCCATGTGATAAATGGCGTTGGCTTAAGTCTGTGGACTTCATTAC